ATCCCAGGACCCTGGGATCATGACCTGAGCTGAAGGCAGATGCTTAACGACTGAGCCACCCAGGCGCCCCTGTATAAGTGCCTTTTCGATGTTACTTTTGGACATCTGTGTATTAGGTGACAAGTGAACATCTGGAATTTATAGCATGATGGCATTGTTTGCCAGCCAGTGTTTGATATTTGGAGTTATTACCATCCTTGTCTACATGGTAATTTTTGTGTAGTAACTTGAGTTTGAGTACCTTTTGTTCTTATTTAATGAAAATGAAGGCTAAAGTTCTAGATATTAGCTTTGAGAAACATAAATCCCATAAACTTAATGCCGTGTAGACAAAGATGGCATTGGTTAGGGGTGCTCAAGTGTCAGATCTTTAGTCTCGCCAATGTTCATTAGATCCACAGGTTTTCCAACTGGGATCAAAATGTTATGAAAGTTTTGGGGGGTGCTCCTGGGTGGCTCAGTCAGTTAAGTGTCCGACTCTTGATTTTCGCTCAGGTCATGATCTCAGGGTCGTGAGATTGAGCCCTCGCTCAGTACAGAGTCTTATTTGAGATCTCTCTCTCCCTCTTCCTTTGCCCCCTGCCCCTTGTATGTGCATGTGCGTGCTCACTCTCTAAAATAAATTAAAAAAAAATTTTTTTAGTTCTCTGAGATGGTACCCACCCCAAATAGTGTGTCAGCTTGATAGCTCACATGTTCAGTTTTAGCATATACTTTCAGGAGTGTATAAGAAAATAGAGGAGCTGTATGTATTGAATTTATAGACATTTTGTTTAGTTACTGTCATATTGAGTTTGAAATTATTTCAGTTATGTTCTGTTTTTTCTATTTCCAGAGGAAAGTAAGAGCTGCTTTGTTCTTTGTATGCCAAATTTAGAATGTACAAATAATATTTCTATGAACATTAGAAGTGAAACTCTTGATAATCCATCCTAATAAAGGTCAGAGATTATGTTTTCAATACTAAGAAATTTAAAACCAATTTTTAAATATGGCTTGTAATCAGAAAGATTTTCCCACTGTCCCCAGCCTAAACTCCTTGCTGATTCATCGTCTGGGATGGCAGCTGTCAGCAAGGAGTTCCAAAAAACAAATCCACCGAGAGCCATATCATGGGAGGAGTGAGGGCTTCCCATCTAGGTCAGCCTAGGTTAAAATTCTGGCTCTGGGTCTGTAGATGGCCTTGTGCAGATCTTTATGATCCCATGTCCTCATCTGTAAAACAGATGCCTTTCTAGAATGAGTGGAAATGTAATAAAAGCATAATGCCCCAACACTCAGAAAAAGGTGATAGTGAGGATTGTTATTCCTGGAGAATACATTATATTCTCCGATAATGGAAGCTTCTCGGCATTACTATGTAATATTTTTTTGTTTTTAGAATCAGAAGAAATTTGTCCAGCCTCCCCCCCGGAAGATATCATTTTGCAAATATAAATGTTAATTGAATTTTAAAATTGCGAAATGATATAAAGATAATAGGAGTGTTAGCATTAGCCCTAAGAGGAGGTGAGTGAAAAGTAAGGCAGGCATACTCAACTTGTTAGAATGTGATGTAGAGGACGCCTGGGTGGTTCAGTTGGTTAAGCAACTGCCTTCGGCTCAGGTCATGATCCCGGAGTCCTGGGATCGAGTCCCACATCGGGCTCCCGGCTCAGCGGGGAGCCTGCTTCTCCCTCAGACCCTCTCCCCTCTCATGCTGTTTCTCTCTCTCTTTCTCTCAAATAAATAAATAAATAAAATCTTTAAAAAACAAAAAGAATGTGATGTAGAAAATAGAGTAATTGTTTTGTCAGAATATACTCCATAGGAATCAGGATGAGACCAGCTGGGGCTTTTATTTCCGTGAGGAAAAATGGACAAAGACTTGGAAAAGAGCAAGGCAGTCCACATGAGCACCCACTTCGTAGGCATCTCTGCCGTGGCCTGCGCTTTCCTGTCCAGCAGAGAGCAGGCTTTGTGGAACCCTGCCTGCACGTGTGGAGAGGCACACTGTTGGTAGGGAAGGGCCTCACATGCTCTGTTAGGGAGTGTTATCTATGCGCGAACTTGAGAAAGCCAACTTTATTTGCTCTTGGCTTGAATCCCCCTTTGAGGATTATGATTTGAGTCTTCAGATCCTGTTGGGAATGAATTCTGTGCTGCTGCTGTCTTCGTATTCTTCCTAGTGACTGTGACTTGAAGCCTCCTCAAATACCTGAAATACTCAGAAAACTCAGAGATAAAAATAGGACATTGGACTTGCCAACATGGAATTTTGCAGGAGGATTTTCCCCCTTAGAACAACAGTTTGGTGGTCTTTAAGTCTTTCATTTAGATTGTGTGAATTAGTGGAGGGAATCTTAGGTGAAGGAATCCAAGACTTAAGTAATCAGTCATTAAAGTGTACTGGGATTTGTGGTGATGAGATTTTAAAGAGTGTTTATCCTGAATGGCTTTTTTTTTTTTTTGAAGTTGGATCTTGATGGACAGATAGACTCTATTCATCTATTCCTGTCACCAAGGCAGGTGCACTTGCTTTTGGATATGTTAGCAGCTGTTGCTGGACCAGGCAAGTATGGCAATAGGCAACTCTGTTACTATTTTTGCTTATTAAAAACTTTTTAGATTCTGTGATCCCTAGCTAGTTGCTTAAAGCTACTGCATAGCTCTGATTAATATTAAATAGTGGTAGTTCTGCATTGACTGTGGCATGAAGTTGCCGTTGGTATTGGACAAGTGGGTTTTGGGAGAGAGATGATTGATTAACCCCAAATTTAATTACTGTTTTGCTTTCCTTTCTATACTTGTAGAAAATTCTAGCAAAATAGGGTTAGCTAATAAAGATAGAAAAAACCGACCCATGCAGCAAGAAGAGGAATATCGAATTCAGATGGAATTAAACCGGTATTATTTGAGAAAAGATTCCCTCTCAGCAGGTGTATCTTCAGAGCAAAGCTTTTATGAGACAGAATCCGCTCGTACACCTTCTAGCCGTGGTAAGCGTCTGAAACAATTGACACTGGATTCCTACAACGTTATCATAGAGCAAAGTAAACTTAATTTGGCCGTTGTGAAATGGGAGTTTAGTAATGAAAGAACGAAAGATCTGTGATCTAAGAAGGTTTAAATTTGTAAGTTGATCTAACCGCAGCATAACAGTGATGCACTGGCTCATGTATCTTTTTTTGAGTGTCTTATCTCGTTTTGTAAATCATGACTTCTTTTTTATTCTAAGGACAGTCAATTTACAAAAATGTAGATTTACACAAAAGATAAATTGGGGTAATTACTCATTTTGTCAAATTCTTACATGCTCGTATGATGATTTACGGTTAGAGGCCCTTAAATGGAACCTTTTTTTCTACTCTTCCATCAATTACACGTAAATACAGTCTTTACACAGTTTACTTTGCATTTTTACAGGTGTTTTAGAATGTTTAGCACTAATACATTAACTAATAAGAATCCATTTAAGTATAGAATGTTGAACTAAATAAGTTTTAAAATCTACTCAAGAAATTTTGGTTATAACAAACTTCATTTGCATGAGAGTAAAACAACCTCCGAAAGAAGTGAAATGTAAATAAAATTCTAAATAATACATTCAGGTTTTTTTTTTTTTTTTAAAGAGTTGTATTTATATGAAACCAGAGATGGCAAGATCTTTACACTATTTTAAAGTTGGATTTTAACTTCTAAATTGTCATATGATACTTAAAAATATACCACGTAGTACTGCAAATCTTACATTAAAAAAAACCAAACAAACAAAAAGCAAGTTCACCAGTAGGATAGCATAACGTTTTGTTAACTTGTATTTGGTTGAGTTTTTACTATCTTGGATCCTCACAAATTACCCCATCAGAAGTAATGTAAATTGTAGGGCATCACTGTACTTCAGATAATCTGAAGAATATTATATTAATGTATGTTAACTTAATTTAAAGACATGAATTATACAACTGACAAGGTTTAATTCTGTCTAGAAGAAGAAGTTTTCTTCTCCATGGCTGATATGGACATGTCCCATAGCCTTTCTTCTCTTCCACCTCTGGGAGACCCTCCAAATATGGACCTTGAGTTGTCATTAACTAGTACATATACAAATACTCCAGCAGGATCTCCATTAAGTGCTACTGTGGTAAAGTATTTAAATTTTGTTCTATTCTTGAAAAGTGGCTTCTGAAATTCTACACTTTATTTATGTGATTTAAAAAAATTCTTTTACAGCTTCAGCCAACGTGGGGAGATTTCCTTGAACATCATAAAGAACAACCAGTAAGAGGGTCCACATTGCCTTCCAACCTAGTTCACCCACCAAATTTACAGAAGACTTGTAAGTAGTGTAAGACACTTATGGTAGTTTTCCACTGGAATTTATTTATTTTATTATTTTTTAAAGATTTTATTTATTTATTTGAGAGACACAGCAAGAGAGGGAACACAAGCAGGGGGAGTGGGAGAGGGAGAAGCAGGTTTCCCATGGAGCAGGGAGCCCGATGCGGGGCTCGATCCCAGGACCCTGGGATTCTGACCTGAGCTGAAGGCAGATGCTTAACGACTGAGCCACCCAGGCACCCCTTCCACTGGCATTAAAAAAAAAAAAAAAATTGTTTCTTTCTAGAAAATGCCATTTTACTGCTGCTTTTCTTTCCCCTCATACATTTTTTTTTGAGCTAGGCCATTTAACAAAGTTTAGAAAGAAAATGTGAAGCATGGTTGAACAACTCAACCATGAAGTATTTTAGAATACTTGCCAATTCACTGTAGTCTTTGTGTATTTAAGTATCTTTAGTAAAAAGTACACTGTAAGTTTCATATTATTATTGTAGTTTAGGAGTCTCAGTCAACCATCAATACTTGTTCCATTGTTTACACTTTCCTTGAAAGAGAACCTCAGGTCTCTTCTCCGCAAAATTTAATTGAAATAGACACAAGGCTTAAAAGAAAATTTGGTGAGCAGCTTTTGGGTTAATCTGCAACTTTTCCGATACAGTTTTATTAATGCAAAACTTTTGTTCATGTTTCTTTTTGATGCCTCAAGTATCAAGGATCCTGAATATCAAATGCAGAAAGATAACAATTTATCTTACTTGTTTAATATCAAATATCATTCAAACTGTTGGGTGTTCACCTGCTTTTTAAACGTTTAACATATGAGTAAATGCTTTATAATTTTGATATAATGGATTGTTTTTAAGTATTAAATTTTATGTATATAATTTTAACCCATGTGTTTCAGCTCTCCCATCTAGATCTGTTTCAGTGGATGAATCCAGGCCTGAACTTATTTTTAGACTAGCTGTGGGAACCTTTTCCATCTCTGTGCTTCACATCGATCCTTTATCTCCACCTGAAACATCACTGAACCTTAATCCATTGACGCCTTTGGCGATAGCGTTCTTTACCTGTATAGAAAAGATTGACCCAGCAAGATTTTCAACAGATGATTTTAAGTCTTTCCGAGCAGTATTTGCGGAAGCTTGCAAACATGATCACCTTAGGTAAATTCTCTCATGTTTATTAATGATGCTTGAAAAAGAACCAGATGGGGACATTTTTATCTGCCTAACTCTGTTTTTCTGATTTGCATTTTATTTGTAAATGAGGGAATGAGTGAGGTTTTCTTGCAGTGCTACAAAAATGTTTACCATAGAATCTTTTATTCAGCTTACTTGGCATGCAAAACTATTTACATATAAGATTGAGATAATCTGGAGTTTTCTCTGCTCTTGACAATTTTTTTTTAAGTTTTTTGTTTTTTTTTTTAATTCATTAGAGAGCACAAGTGAGAACATGAACAGGTGGGAGGGGCAGAGGGAGAGGGAGAAGCAGACTCTGCTGAGCTGGGTGCCCAGTGCGGGACTCGATCCCAGGACCACAGGATCATGACCTGAGCTGAAGGCAGACGCTTAACCCACTGAGCCACCCAGGTGCCCTTGACAAGTTTTTTTGGACCACATTTTGCTGATTAAAATATTGACACCATTATAATCATAAAAATAGTTCTTATTGTCACTGGCTCAGTGGAGATGGCAGTGGTGGTGAGAGTGGAGTGAGCTAATGAGAAGGGATGTGGAACAACATGAACCCCATGCCACTGTCTGTGGGGTGGGGAAGGGTAACAAGGCTGATCCTGAGCCCGGATGCTACACTTTCAATTTCTGCTTTAAAAAATTAAAGCCATCTGGGGGCATGTGGGTGGCTCAGGTGGTTAAGTGTCCAACTCTTGATCTTAGCTCAGGTCTTGATCTCAGGGTCATGAGTTCAGGCCCCAAATTGGGCTCCACACTGGGCATGGAGCCTACTTAAAAACAATAACAAAACTTCATTAAAAAAAAAAAAAAATTAAAGCCGTTCACATAGCCAGTGATCCTTTCATGGGTTGAGTCCTAATGAATGAGGAGATAATTAAATTTGTAAGTATAATATTGTTAATATGTAAACATTGCTCATCTTAATGTGAAAGTTATCTTTCGATCGTATTTTATACAACAATTTAGGCACATATTAATATTTTTAGGAAAGTTTGGCCTTTTAATTTTGATTTTTTTTGAAGTATTAAAATTAATATACAGAGTAGTTTTTATACCTAGCTAAAGAGACTCTACAAGTTAGGGCCATAGTATTTATAATTAAACTGTAAAAACATTTTGACAAGGTTTCAAATGTGCCAGTAGGAAATAAAAGCAGCAAAAATAGGAAGACGACTTTCACTTGAGATCCACTGACTGAAGGTTTTTAAATATTGCATGAGGCTTTTAAATAATTTTAAGAATCTACTGCATATATTTTGAAAGATTTTTGTCCGCTGCAGTGTAAATTTTAAAATATTAAAGAAGGGAGGGCAGGTTTGGGAAATAAATATATCCTGGCTAATTTCCTATCAGAAATTGCTTTCTTATCTCAGGGAATGGGAAATTTGAAGCAGTCTTTCTGGTTAATACCCTTAGGAATATTATTATATATTAGAATATGTACTTTATTAACACTTGTGTACTATTCTTTGACACATTCGTTAACCTAGAAGTATATGAATACTCTTAAATGTTTCATTTTCTGTAATAGATTTATAGGTACTGGCATCAAAGTGTCCTATGAACAAAGACAAAGATCAGCTTCCCGATATTTTAGTACTGATATGTCCATTGGGCAAATGGAACTTTTGGAATGCCTCTTTCCAACTGATTCTCATTCTGTTCCTCCTCACTACACAGAGGTAAATGCTAGATACTTTGTCTTTAGGATCATTCTTTAAATCTACCTTGCTTTTAAAGAGTTATATTAATAGCAATGATTTTATTAAAAAAAAAAAGCATAGGAAGCCATTAGAGGAAGGAAGTGTGCATGTGTACGCATTTGTATTTCGTTGAAACATTTTAAAGTATGGCATTCAAGGTCATTGTAAGAGTCTGTTAGAATTTTTTAGAGTTGACTTGTTTTAGAGTGGCAGACAGATTATGGGACAGATGACTTTATTTCCCTAATTTTCCAAGCACTATTAATTTCAGAAGTCTGTTAAACGAATACTAAATACCTGCAGTGTGCTAGTAAGCACTGTTCAAGACAAGCACAGTGTCTTTTGTTTATTTATTATTAGTCTGATTTTTTTTTTCCAATTCTAAAAGTGTGTGCTAGGGAAACTTTTCAAAGTTATCAAGATAACATTTATTGCTGTTAACTTTGCCCTTGTACATTATTTTATTTTCAAAGTACTTTCTTGGGCGTTAATTCACTTGAATTCTCATGTACCCTCTGCAGATGAGATACTAAGTATCACAGAAATTAACTTGTCTTAAGATTTACATTGCTTGTGAATGACCAAAATGAAATGTAAAATGAGCTTTCCTGATTTCAAAAAAGTCTTTCCACCACTAGCACCTCTGTTAATTCATGGGATATATTACAGTTTAATATCTTACATTTATTTTTGTCTTTGTTTGTAAGCTTTTAATGTTCCATTCCAAAGAACGAACTGATTCCCATCCCCCTGTGTGTCTTCAGCTTCATTATAAGCATTCTGAGAATAAAGGACCCCAGGTAAGAAGCCTTATTGTGTGATACCACCTATAAATTTTCATTTGATATGTATTTTGTCACAATCATACAGTTTCCACTAAATTTTATAGTACTGTTAGTGATCATATTAATGTTTTTCCTTTTTTTTTTTTAAAGGGTAATCAAGCAAGACTTAGTTCTGTTCCTCAGAAGGCAGAATTACAAATTAAGTTAAATCCTGTGTTTTGTGAGCTGGATATCAGTATTGTGGACAGGTTAAATTCTTTGCTTCAACCACAAAAGCTTACTACGGTAGAAATGATGGCATCGCACATGTATACTTCATACAATAAACATACTAGTCTGGTAAGTATTCAGAACATTACAAATACTAATTCTAATTATAGCTAGCTAATGGGCTTATTGGGATCATTTCTGAGCTTAAGTATTCTTAATGGATTAAGTAGCATATATTAAAACAGTATTATTCATAATGAAAAGATGGAGACTTTTATGTCTAGATGGTAGGCTAGCTGAATAAGGTTTGCTAATATATTGAGTGAAATTTTATGTGGCCATTTTGAATGATGGTTATAAAGATGGTGTAGCCGCATAAAGAAAGCTCATGAAGGAGTATTAAGAGAAAAAGTGAAACATATTATTCCACAGAAACTTTTATCACAACTGTGTAAATAAAATTGAGGTATAGAGAAGAATGGATGGAAATATACCAGTTGGTAGCACTGATTATGTTAGAGCATAGAACTGGATTTCCTTTCCCTCTCTGTGTTTATTTGAATTTTATAAGTTGTGATTATAATATCTGTAGAAAATTTATTCACACCTTTAGTAAACTACCTGATCTGCCTATAAAACGTAGCCCATATATTGTAAGGTACACTTTTGAAAGTGGGAACATAATTTATAGCATTGTGTTATTGAGCATCACATTAGGTCACTTTACTTAGATCTGTCTGGTGCATGATGTCTTTTCTAAGCAGTTTAAGTAAGTCATCATATTTGCAAGAAATCTGTGAGGAATCTTCGGCTGGAACTGGGGAGCTCTCGGACCAGGAACAGATAGAGAAAACTTTGGTTAAAAGAAAAGGGAGGAGGTGTTTTTCTACTTGTTTCTCCCTTAATTAGTGGTGGGTAGTCACATTAAATCAGCATTTTTTATTTATTGTTGTCACCAATTACTAGTTATTTCAAGTTCTGTGGGGCTAGTGTGCATATTTGCTGTTAGCCATAGATGTGCTGGGATGATGGTTAATCTCTTGGGTTATTTTTGCTGAGAGTGGGGGTTAGTGTTACAAAGTCCAAGGGGGAGGGAGAGAGAGAATAGGTGTGCTAAAAATCCCAGTCCAGGGTAAGAAAGGAACTCCCTAATCCAGGAGGTTAGACACTGATTCATGAAGTGGAGTGTTACCACCTGCAGTGTACTCTGGGCTAAAGCTTTAGAAGCTTCACTACATTTTAGAAAAACAAAAAACAAACAGAAATAGACTTTTATCTGAAGGGCATTTTTTTTTTTTTTTTTAAGATTTTATTTATTTATTTGACAGAGACACAGTGAGAGAGGGAACACAAGCAGGGGGAGTGGGAAAGGGAGCCTGATGCGGGACTCGATCCCAGGACTCTGGGATCATGACCTGAGCCGAAGGCAGACGCTTAAGGACTGAGCCACCCAGGTGCCCCTGAAGGGCATGTTCTTTGACCCTTTTGCTGTAACATGGCTTTGAGTAGAGGGTGCATGTGTCTTGGTTTCTTTTTTTTTTTAAATTTATTTATTTGAGAGAGAGAGTGAGAGAGAGAG